TTTCATGCGTTAATCGTATATAATTATCATGCGAAATATTCTTAAGCAACTTTAGTTTTAACGATTTTTTTCTCAAATGGTAAATAGAAGGGCAAAAATGAGTGTTATGATGAATTAATTAATAACTGAAAAGAAACGATCTACTAGTAATAGACAACAGTCAGTATGATCGAAGGCTTTTTTCGTATTGAATGTCTCATTGGAGATCAGTCCGCTAACAAATTTAGCTGACACGAGCACTATATACCATCTATCTTTCTACGTTTAGATACAAGATGTGTACAAAAGTTGAGATGATGTCAAATGAGTTATATTATGAATTATTTGAATATTTGACATGTTTTGAAATATATCCAATATTTAAGAATCTTAATAGTCGATATAATAGTTTAATTTCCAGTTATCATGTTAAAGTGTATGTGAATTTAACAAAAATATCAAAAACACAGTTTGATTATTATTGTTCGCAGATAATTGGAAATGTATGTTTTCAGTTAAAAACGTTGGTGTTATCAAACAGAAAAATTGTTCAACAAATAACATGGTTCATGTATTATTTGTACTATGGGTATTGTTGTTACGGATGGGACAAATTTTCGTTAAATCCAGGAGCGATGCTTTTTTTGTTGCACCATCTCATACAAATGACTGCAGAAAAATTCCATCAAGACAATTTTGTAGAACTCACTTCGTACTATGAAAACTACATTCACATGTTCAATTGTTTAGAACAGCAGAAACGATGACCAGTTGCGACATCTGCCACAGAAAATTAGTTTTGGTCGACATAGTTCATTTTCGTTCAAGTGCATTACTGTATTATACATTGTACACCAAAGAAATACTTAATCAAGTACCTGCTCCGGTAGTTTGCTGGGCTTTTCTCAGTAAATTTATGAATACGGGAATCCGAGTAAGTCCTTCCTTGGTAAATATACTGATATGGGTACCTGAGAAAGTACCCGTCTCAGTAAAGTTACTGAAAATTTTTCAAAGTACCCAAAGCGGATACCCTGCTGGAATTTTCTCAGTATTTATCTTTTGTTTTTCTTCTTGAGTGATTAAAACGGAGGAGATTGTAAAAAACAAAACGTAACATTAACCATCTTAATTTTGTTTTCCGTAATGCACAAACTTGACGATATCTAGCACTATTCTTACGTTTCTTTGCAAAAGCCTTTGATCTTGTAGATTGAACCATGGTTTCAATTACAGATGACATTGCGCTCGTTAGCGTCACAAATCTCTGTGTTATTATTCTTATATCAATAATACACGTAGCGTCAGAGACCACAGGTAATTCTCTAAAGTATCTGTAATGAAAATAACTTTAGCACTCTTAGAATACAAATATTCCACCTAACATCACGAGCAGATTCAATGGAAACATATTTTACAAGCTTCGTCGAACCAAAGTTTTTTCTCTTACTCGTCAGTGTACTGTGGCGCTGTTTGTTTTGTTGTCCAAATTAAGGAAACTGCAACACACGAATTATTCAGAAAATACGATTTTTCCACTGTGACCATACTAAAATAAAAACCTTATAGCGCGTTCATTTATCAACCCAATTACTTTATATTATCAGAAAAGCTTAGTTTGATGTGTTTCAGATATACCGTGGTAAGCCTGTCGGATAAGACTCATTTTAGCATAGACATATGGCTCGGGTGTCCTCTTTCATAATTTGAAAACCACAGTTCTCTAGCTTATTCCGTTCTCAAGTTATTCAAAAAAACATCCGTGTTCTTTATATTTTGAAATGGATAGTAGTAAAATAGAAATAAAACCGTTCAGTATAATTCTGACAAATCCTACTAAACTCTATGTAGAAATTGATAGTATTCTATAGGTTTTCTGCTGTAAAGTGATGTAGAATTCTGATGATAATAAGAAATACCACACTATCCTACAATAGGAATCACATGAGTTCCTGTAATAGGACTACGCAGGATCAGGATCCCAGACCAGAATTTCTACAATTTCCTATGTTTTGGCGAATCTTGCGGGATCCTAACAAGATTGTTTGACCGGGGTATACTTAAAATGCTTCTTGAATTATGAATTTATTTCGTCAGGCTAGTTTCCAAAAAAATTACAACTACACTGTAAAGTCGGGAATTATTTATAGAAAATGCTCGGCGATTTTCAAAAAGTCCATATATAAAATCCTCACGGACTTTCCAGATTATGGAAAATCGATATCGATTTTCTACATTGTTGGGAATTATTTATACAAAATCCTCAGCGATTTTCTAGATGATGAGGACGAACAATTTGAGTGAGAATGCTGATAATCACAGACTTGCAAAGTGAAAATGGCTGAAGATAAACTTTTTCACCATTATTTAAAGCTATTGAACTTTGAAGTTGAGTGGGTGTATTATTTCAGCTTATTGGATGACAATATGGATCTTTTACTAATGAAAATCAAATTCGACAGCTCTCACGTGCTGAACGACTGTTATTTTATTTAAAAGATAATAAAATAAATGTGAATTGTTAGAATCATATCTTTGAGTTAATAGAACCAAGTACATTTTTGGAAGATGTTAAATTCAAACATAAAAATGAGGAATATTAGTAAGAGTGAATCGCTTTGTGATCTTCAGAAAGTTGCGGTGGAACTCGACTGTGTCTTAACCAGGCAATCCAAGAATCCTTCCAGTACCTCTTTGTGGTCTCCAAGTGTCATACAGCAACAATATTTCTCGAAGAATATGCTGATTTGCAAAAACTGAGAGAACTTTCCCAATCTACTAACATTTCCGCTGCTAAATACTAAAACAAGCAGAGACCTATTACAAGACAACTTGTTGCAATGTAGGCTTTAATAGATGTGAAAGAAGCATGAAAAAAATCATCGATTCGGCTTCCTAGAAAACTGAATTCGATTTCCCAACGATCTGGAAATTCCTTATCGATTTTCTAACAAATGAGAAAAGTCAATTTATAGAAACTCGAGCGGATTTTCTATAAAGTAGAAAATCAACGTTTTCTAAACAGTCAGAAGGAGGATTTTATAAAAGTTGGAAAATCCAGATCGATTTTCTATAAAGTAGAAAATAATTCCAAATTACAGTGTACAGTCCGCTTGTTTTTTGGGTTGTTACTCATTTAATTGATCTCAAGACAAATTAATGCAGTTAGATGCAAAACTCCACTATTAAAGCATTCTTTTCACCGTTTACGTTTATTGTAGAGCTTTGCATTTAACTTTTGCGTCTAACTTCTCTCTACCACACAATGAGCAACCAGGTGACAATTTAGAAACATAGTTGATTTTCATCTATTCAATGGATCATTTAGATAGATATGGTGGCTATGTTTTCCTAGGATAACCTTTTTTTGTCTGTACTTGATTAGTGGGAAAACCTGAACTAGAAACTTTGCTCAAATCGAGGAAAATAGCGAAAAATAATTTTTTGCCAAAAACAAATCAGCAACGATTTCCTGGTCTATGGGCATTGAACCTTGTGTCAGACAGCACATTTCTAGACAAAAAGTTGGTACCAAAAGAATTTCGTCTGAGGTCTTCTCTTCTTAAGGGAAGACACTTTTTGTCAGAAAAAAATGTTGAACCAGCCATTCTATAGAGCGTGTTTGAAAACGTAGAAAAAGTTCATTGTTGAGATTGCCGAATACCCTTCGTACTCATCTTCGTCTTTGAACGTTACGGTTACTTCTCTTCTCTCCTCTCAATATTAATGTATACTGGATCCGCAGGTAGCGACGTTTCGATGAGACCACCGAGAAGATTTTAATGAAAGTTATTTAGCGGTATTCTCACTAGAAAACTAGTTTTTTACCTTATTTATGTTTTTTCTTCTAGATGTTTTTCTTTTGGTTTTTCTTTCCTGCAATCATTTCAGTTGGTAAATAGTGGATTGCTGTTTACTGTGTAAAAAATTAAAACTAACACACCGAGAACTGAGAACAGGCTTATAATGAACGTTCACAGGATATCAGTTCAGCATTCTGAGACCTTTTCTTTTGCCTCCGTTGTAAAATATAACATAGAAAACGCAAAAAAGCACCAAAAATGTTACATTGGAACATTTAGATTCCTACATTCAATATGGGATTTCCATGTAACATCCCGATAGTCATTTTTGATGCTGAAGATATTATATGCAACGGTTTTCTCGTTGTATTACATTTGATTAGTCGAAAACGCAGTGAAACCCAGCGCTGAAAAGCGTTGTTGCATTAAAAAGATTGACTTTATTTTTGCATTGAAAGCAAAAAAGTGACAAGAACTGGTAATTTATAACAGATGAAAGACCATTGAAGAAAATAGTTCAGAACTCAATTTCAGTTAACGCAAGTCATATATTTCAGTCATTCATTTAAAGTTCTTGGAGTTACACTGGTATGTTCATAGATCAATAACCGTTTTTCAAGTTTAGAGAAAAGAACTGAAGAATGAGGGTCAGAATTTAAAACAGAGAACTAAAGAAGAATAGGTGTGAATTTTAACAAAATAGCTTCCAAATTTAGCACGAGACTTTCTTGTCCATCGATATATAAAGAAGCCTGTTAGATTTTCGTAAGTTGAAAAGCAAAAACTAAAGGTATATAGGACAAAAGACAAATATCATTAGTTTACTTAAATTTTCGAATGAAACAATAGTTTTTTACGAACAAATAAACAAAAATAAAGTTTTCAATTACCACAAATTAAAAAAACGAAATATGCTAAATGCGTTCTTTATACAGAGAATTTGAAATTAATTTTTTCTGATCGCTATCCGGAAACTACATACGATTTTGAGGTGCAAATTTTCGTCTAAGGAATACAAAAACAATACATTTGAAATATTACACTGGCAAAAGAAAACTAACTTTTTTATTCTTGTTCTCAAAACATATGACAATATAACAACGAAAACGTTGCAATGGACTCTTTTCCCAATGCAACTTCAAAACTGATGCATACAACTGAACAGATTAAACAATAATTACAGCAGACATTTAGGATGAACTATTAATTTTATTTTAGATGTCTAGCTCTACGACAACTTCCACATCATCCGCAATCTCGCTGTCTTTAATTCAGTCTCAAAGTGTAACTGCTCTGTGTAAATTATGTTCAAATTCATTGGTGCTAATTGATCATATATCGGCAGAATGGTTAAGAATAACAAACGCGTCAACTCAACTATTATCTACAACAAATGTGATTGGAATTCAAGCTTTATTCGATCAAGTAGGTTAGACAAATAAATTAAGACTTCTAGAAATACACATTTATATATTGAATCTTTGTGAAGGATGCTTGATGTAAATGTTGTGCCAATTCTCTTTTTGAGTGTGTAGAAATGTCTATTTTTGGTAAACATTGAACATGATTGGTTTATGCTATATTTCAATCTCTTTTATGTTTTATTTCAGAATTTTTTCACCTATCTCAACGATGAGAATGTATCTCGAATTGTATTCATATTGAGTGAAATCTTAACTCGTCCTAATTTACTTCATTTACAAAAACTCTGTTGTTATAAACAATATGAATCCGTTCTTTTGTTACTTTGTTCACCAACACTTGTTCATGATTCGTTATTCGATGAAAATATTGATTTATCAACAATAATTAATGAACACGCCTATTTACAACAAACGTTGGAAAAGAAATTATTCGATGGATATAGTAGTGATGATTCACTTCCTGAATTTGAATTAAAATATATTCGATATCCATGTGTCACGATTACTCAACAACTGTTTCTAATACCAGCATTAACTCAATATAAATTACCGACGATTGAAACGATCACACAATTAAATACAGAAAAAATTAAAGTAAACAGTACCTTAAACTAGGATCATTTAGATTAGCATTGGGTATAAGTGTAGATAACTAAATGAAGAATCATTTACATCATAAAGCAATTTTTAAGAAGTAGACATCTGAGTTCGTGATGAAAACTGTTCGATTATGTTGTTTGTCTTCTCTATTTTAGGGTATATCGTCGGTGTCTGAACTATTTCGTGGTGAAGATGTTAAATTTGTTAAAGTATGCCATATTTGTTCAACAACTTTATCAAACTTTTGTTTGTTTTTATTTATGTAGATTCATACAGAATTATTAAATAGTCTAATGTCAAGTTTAGATGGAAAAGAAGATTTATTTTCATTGGGTCCGTTGAGTCAATTGATAGCAAAAGAATATACACAATCAGCTGATATTCGTCAGCGACGAAAGGTAAAAACAGATGGGTAAGGACTGAAATATGTATTCAAGAACAAAGTTGAGGTTTATCAGTGCATGAGTTCATCTGTGCTCTATGTTTATCATACAAAAAGTCATACTTTTTTTGTAGAATTAGAATATTAAATATTAATTAAAGCTGGAAAATCTATCAGTTAAAAACTAAATTTTATACAGATTTTTATAAGATCTTTAACATAATTTTCTATATAAAATTCTCTGTTACTTTCATTTTAGAATTGTGAAAATAAATTAGCCTTATTACTAATCGATCGTCAACTTGATTTGGGCGTTGTAACATCTCATACACAAGATACACTATTATCGCAAATTATTCATTTGCTGCCGAATGTACGAACTGGTATAAAGAATACTAAACGTACAATTGATGTCATTGTCGATTGTAAATCATTATTAAAAACTAATTTGTACGTTCATTCAGTTCTTCTCAATTTTGTAAATATGTTTATTATTATCTATTTTAGTTTAAAAAGTCAAAGTGATTTTAATGGATACTTATTTGGTGATATAAAAAGAACTAATGATGTTGCATGTGCAACATTCGATAATATCATTTATTCGAAAACAAAGGTTAAAGAATCTATTGAATGATCAAATTATTTTAGTATTAATGTTTGTATTTTCAGATTGCAACATCAGAAATATTTACTCGTCTTTTGGAGGCACTTATATACAATAATTTAGAAACAAAAGTAAAAGCGGCTAAAGTATCAGCGGCTGCAATTAGTATGTGTTTAGAAAAATTCAAGTATATATATTGTGTATTTTACACTTTCTCTCTTCTATCTATTTGTTTATTGCAGACAATCTCCATCTACTGTTGTTAAATGTTATGAATTATTAATATTATCCAGTTGTCTTATGCATGTAATGGATAATAATTATGAATTGCAAAAGTTAGACAGATTATCAGCATTGGAAAAGGTGTGTATCAAGAGAAAAAAAGTGAACTAATTCACTTAACTTGATAAATTGCTTAAAATTTATTTGTTCACGAAATAATTCGTATTAAGGGCTCCCCCTGCCCACTCAGAAACCTATTTTCCTCCAGGAATATTCAACCTTGATGAAAATTTTAGACATTGTGTATCTTGAGGTAACTTAGTCATTATGCTAATTGCAGCCTCTTATCACTCGTTTTCCCAAAGTTATTCTTAAATTAGTGGTGAAAAAGTATGGTTTCATACTTCCAAGATATCTCCGTCATTTTTCAAGCTAGAAATTTCGGATTGGTTTCAAGTTCAAAAAATAGAGAAATGTGACATGTGACAACGACGTCACGACGTAAAAAAATCATTTCTCTATTTTCTGAAACCAATCCGAAATTTCTAGCTAGAAAAATGACGGAAATATCTTGGAAGTACGAAACGCTATAGTCGTAAAAAGAGATTTTGAGAAAAACGTGAAACAAGTTTACGAAATGGAAAACGAAGAAGGGAAGAAATATAATAATAGTTCACCATAGGTTTTTGCGTATGCTAAGTCCAATGAGCGTATGGAGAGACATGTGCGACATGTATTTTTGCATATGCACTGATATTTTAATAAAACAACTAATCTTTTTAAAATCGGAGGCTTTCAGAAAATCATCAAAAGCCATTTTGTCAAGACATAAAAGTTAGTGCGTTAGAAAGAGGACACCTTAGACTCTTCAACCGTATATAAATCTCAAAATCAATTTTTTGGACGAAAATTTATTTTTCTGAGTAGGAACAGGAGAAGCCCTTAAAACACTTGTGGATGGGCTGAATAATTTTTTTGTTCTTAAACTTTTTACATGTTAGATAATTGTTCAATCTATTGGTTCTGATGGGCCAAGCGCATTTTCTATTATATTACAAGCATTGAAGGAAGAGTTAATAAAACCAGTCGAACAGCGGTATGTTTTATGACCAAAACGAATCGGTGCAGGTATACTATTCTTTATATATTATTGTTCATTACAGACAATTGAAGTTAGATGATTTTTTAATATTAATTTTATACGTTTATTCATTATCTGGTGACGATTGTTTTTACGGTAAAGAAGAAAAAGAACGAACTCACGTAAGTGGTAGTATGCGTTTGAGAAAAAAAAATCTGATCCCATGTTTAAGTGTTATCAATGTTATAGAAAATGATTGGCAAGGAAATTTTGAATGATACACTGTTTACAAATAAAATTAGACAAAATCTAGATTGTAAGCTACGTTTTTTAGAAGATCTGAGATATTTTCTGTTCAATTTTTTTTTCTTATTTAGGTTTAGGTTATTCATATGAAAAATGTGAACATATGTTAAATGAAATTTATCAACGATTAGATCTATTAGCTTCGGTGAAACGAAAATATAAATATTTCAAGTAATATGCGAAAGATCACAAATGTCATTTTTTTGTTGTCGATTCGCATGATTTTCTCTTGGGACTTTACTATAAAACTGACGTTAATCAGTTGAAACAAATATTTTCTTCTAGTTTCTCACGAGTGCTTTTAATTCTTATCACAGATGTCAATGATTTCGTGCTGTTTATTTTAGTTCTCTGATTGTTCGTGGTAATGATCAGCAGCCTAGTTACCGTCACACATTATTAAAACAAATATTCGAATCTATAAAACGGATACAAACCACTGTACCTTCAACATCTTCATCAAGGTTAAGTGCATCTTTGTCAGCAGCCACATCTCAAAATATGACAAGTGATCAACAACAATTACTGCAAGATATTGAATATACACAATTTGATGGACTAAGGGATTTTTTTAAAAATGCAACAAGAGGGTCTGTTTGCAATCCGTTTTCATAACTAAAACAACATAGATATCGATATTTTTATAGGTTTTTTGGTGATACCAAGCCAACGTTAGCCAGTTATGATTATTCTACAATTGTCATTTTTATTGTTGGTGGAATAACAACGAATGAAATTCAATTAGTTCAAGAATATAGTGTGCAATTAAAAAAACAAGTAAAACGCGATTGTCTTGTTCGTTAAAAACTTTCAGAAGTTCTTTTAATTGTCTTTTTTACCAAACTTAGTCATCCGTATGATACTTGATAGAATGAACTCATCACTATTTCCAGCTGTTAGATCTGGAGAGTATTGTTCGGTTAATTATCAGGTGTTTAAAATTAAAGAGCATTCTCAATGTTTCCTTTCCAATCTTTTTCAGTTCAACTTTCAGAAGCTAAATATTTTCAAACGATGCGCTGTGAAATTCTCTACAAAATGGTATATTTAATATCAAATTGGTATACCTTTTCTAGTCGGCAATTTCTGGAGCACAACAAAACTGTTACCATATGAAAACATTCGGCTGGAAAGGATTAATTATCGAAGAAACCCTTCATCTGTTTTCAAAATGCGGTTACAAACGTTTAGTAAAATCTCCTCCCCTCATATTGCAAATTTTATTCTGTTGACGTTTTGATCTGCTAAGGCCAGTTCATAGTTAATATTTGAACGGATGATAACCTTCAATATTCTGATTCCGAATATCGTAAGCGGGATGGCTGCTAGGCCGTTTAAGAGCCGGTTTTCCAGAGACAATATCTTTTTTCCGAAATCAATTTCTGATCCATCCAGTGCGTAGGACATGCCAAGTTACCTATGAGTAAAAATTTTTTTGACTATCGAACACATCCTGATTTTAAAATCTAGTGTTAAGGAAGAAAAATATTTTTAGAATGAGAAAATCTTTTATGAAGAGCAGAACAACGAGAAAAAGTTCAATTTTAAAAAAATTTTACTCATAGGTAACTCGACATGCCGTACACACTGAATGGACCAGAAACTGATTTCGGAAAAAAAACTTTTTCTCTGAAAAACCGGCTCTTAAACGGCCTAGCAGCCATCCCGCCTACGATATTCGAAATCAGCATTATCGATTACCCATAATCACACAACTTTCATCGAAAAAGCGATTTTCAAGTTGGGGATTTTCCCTCGTAAGACCAATCAAATCATAATAAATTTTTTTGACCATCCTTTTCATGTTGACGAAGTAGCAGTGTCTGATGATCTTGACTTTTCATTATCTGAAATGCGCACGAACAAGTTTTGATACGAAAGCTGTATTTTTTGTAGAGAGTTTTACAGTGCATCTTTTAGAAAAGTTTAACTTCTGAGAGTTGAACTGAATAAAGTCGGAAAGGAAAATACTGAGAGTGCTATTTAATCTGAGACACCCGATAGATTTTATGACACATTTTTATTTTGTTATAAATAGTTGTGTTGTTAAGAAGACGAGTGATAAATTCTTTCTCTTCATACTTAACTATCAAAATTCTTCTTTTTGATGGATACGATAGAAAAATCATTTTATTTTGATTCATATTAAAGTGTACTACAATGAATGGTGAAAACTGTTATGCTAAAAATATTTGAGTGCCATATATTTTAAATTTGAGAGTTTTTTATTTTATTTTAGATTATTATCGGTTCTTCTGGCATTATTACTCCATCCGACATATTTTCATTAGTACTGAACTGAAATTTAAATAAGAATATGAATTCTTTTTTCATTTTTTTATAAGTTATTTTCGACCGGAAATCATATATAAATAATTAAACGCTGCTTTTTATCTTGTTTTACTTGTTACATGAATTTTTTGTTGTTCTCGATAAAGTAGTAGAAAAAAAATTGCTTATTATTATTTAGGTTTCTAGAGTCAATATTAAAATTGTCAGATCATCTATTGGCCTGTAGCTACATATTAGACAGTTGTTATTGACTTTGTAAGTTTGTACCTATTCGATGAAATCTGCCGCATTTCCAGATTACAAAAAGAGAAAACCTAAAAATGTCTGTCAAAATGTCGGTAAGTAAGTAGAAGGACAATAGTTGAACTATCTCTAGTCGACAGTCCCATAAGAAGTCCCATGGGATTCCTCTTTTTAGACAAAAGTTACATCTTTTTTAGAAAATTGATTTTAATTCATATATTATTAACAACTCTGTAATCATCAAGTTTACCGCGATCAAAGGACAAGTGGCAGAATGTAAGGTTTCGTGCCCAAAAAATTACGCAATGAGTCATACATATTCGGAATCAGCGTCGAATTCTGAGTAAAACTGTATTCTCAGATCGTTCAAATTCGCGAAAAAAT